CACACACACACACACACACACACACACACACACACACACACAAACACACACATACACACTAATCTAGCGCACAACAATAATGATCGTGATAGAGGCAGGAATTAACCCAGGCTGGAATGCACCGGACGAGCCGGTGCGATCATCTATTTTTGCACCAAACTTGAATTAATTAGATTAACTACATGAACGGTTGTTTCTTCACACCTACCTTATGCGCTCAATACCGTAAATCATCGTAAATTTTGCTTAAAGAAAATAAACAATTTCCTTTTAGCGGTCATTTTAGGAAATGATCAGGCCGTTCCATGAGTAATTTTCCTGCCAAAAATTTAAGTACCCGTACACGAGGACCACAAGTACTTGGGGGCTGAATTTGAAACTTCTACGTTGTATTTCAACGGGGAATATTCTCCTAAAGTCTCAGCTTTCCAGCTTTTTTGGTTTCCGATTTAGCAGTTTCCCCGCCATAACTTTCAGAGAGCCACACGTGACCTGGAAGCATACCTGGAGGCTAGGTTTGAAATCTTTAAGTTGTACGTGGGCTGAGAATATCTTTTAAAATTTCAGCCTCCCAGCTTTTCTGGTTCCCGAGCTAGCCGTTCCCTTCCCAAAAAATTTCTTGAGGCCATATGTGAGAACCACGCATGCCTGCGGACTGAATTTGATAACTTTAAGCCGTACATGGGCTGGGACATTCCCTTAAAATATCAGCCTCCTAGCTTTCCTTTTTTCCGAGCTAGTCATTTTCCCGCTAAAAAATTTCATGGGACCGTATGTGAGAATCACGCATGCCTGGGGCCTGAATCCGATAACTTTAAATTGTATATGTGCTGGGGACATTCCTTGAAAATTTCAGCCTCCCAACTTTCCTGGTTCCCAAGTTAGCGACTTTTGTGCCAGAAACCCTCGCCGGGCCGTACGCGGGAACCATGCATATCCGGTGGCTGAATTTGAAATCTTTGAATTCTATATGACGGGGAATATAACCTCGAAATTTCAGCTTTTTAGCTTTCCTCGTTCCCGAGTTAGCAATTTTCCCGCCAAAATTTTCACCCTCTCGCACGCGAGGCCTAGACTTGCTTGAGGGTCAGTATCGCGGTCTTAGGGTGGCACTTGGCCGGGAAACCCACTAGCGAAATTTTGGTGCCGTAGCTTGCTTGGTTGCCGAGCTGAAATATCCGGACAGACGAACGAACACACACACGCACACACACACACACACACACACACACACACCCACAGGGTCTTCGAAATTTGCGTTTTTGCAATTTGCATATAAGCAAAAACGCATAAAAACAAAGGCGGAATTTATGGATGAGGTGACCCATGCAGGTCCTTTATGCTCAGGCTGGAATTTGGTAATGAGGCGATGTTAGCATGGACGCGATTCTAGAACTAAAAAAAAACCCAGCGCCATCCATTTTCATGGCTCGAAGCCGAACCCAAACAATGATTGCATATTGTTCGGCCAGTCGAGCCGAGTTTCAGTAGTCGACGAAATAGCTGTTTACTTAAAATTGGTTACTAAAGTCGGCTCGGCCGCGCAAATTGCACTCAGATGAGGTTTTGAGCGCTGCAAGAAGCTTTGTTTTGTAGAAGTGCTGGATTATTCCTTCCGGTGAGACTTTGGAGTACGAGCACAAGCTCACTTCCTTTCTCCCAGCATCTAGTTCCTTGCTTAGCACGCTCCTGACGAGTATTAAAGCAAGTGTAGATCCCTGTACTCTTTTAGAATCTTACTGCAGCATCGTTTACGTACAGGTTCGGCCACAGCGTACTGTTCTAGGCTTCATTGATTTCTGCGCAAAAGTCACGAGCATTTATGATCGCGAATTGGAAATTGAATTGCACTGGTGCAAGCTCCTCCATTTATCGGATGTTTTATTTCAAGCTGACTGCAGAGTAAGCTTTTTCAACATCACACAGCGAAGCGTACGCATGCATATCCACTGCTTGCTCGACGTTGTTCACGCCACCCGTTTAGAAAATCCCGAAGTAGTCGTTTACGTTTGGATGGTACGTCTATTGATAGGACAAGTTTACCGGCTCCTAGCCAAGCGTGCCCAATTTTCAGCCCAAGACTTTTGGTTTCGTGAATGATCGTCATGATATCCTTGGCGGTACAGAGAGTTTGATTGCTTACTTGTTCATGAAGGCATTCAGCACCTTTCAGTTTTTTAAGGATAATTTGGAGGAAGAGATTTTCAAAGCTGAGGATGATTTGGTTCGCAGGTTGCTGTCAATAGCCAGTAGTGAGAATGCAAAACTTTTAAATGATTTTGAGGGTTTTCCTGGAGTCTAACTTGAAAGGAGTACGGCGAGTGAAACTGAAACTTCATCTGCGAAGACCATTTCCTGTTGACAATACAACTTTTCTCAGTCCTCCGCTGCCGAGTATTAACGACGAATGAAACTGTCAGGATGCTTCATGTTTTGTTAAACTTTTAATTGCATAAATTTGTTTTTATTTACATAACTATACATACATAAAATCTGTTTTGTTCCAAGTTTTTTTTTCGAATTGCAGGAAAACTGGATAATGGGACAAAAGAAAAGAAGACATAAAAGGCAAAAAAATGTTTTGTGGATTAACTGGATGATAGCTCTGGTTTTCATGAACTTCAGTGTGACATTACACTCCCTTCTGACAGCCGATGAGTGAGAGGTACTAGCGAGCGACATTTGCCTTTGACGTATCGCCAACCTAGTAGCATAAAAATTTCCATACTAAAAACTTGAAAGATTTTCGTGATATTTTAGAACAATACCAAATCTCACTGCAGCTCTTATAGGAACATAAAAAATTTCTAAAACTTATCAAATTATAGACAATTTCTTCGAAAACACAAAAAATAAACCAAAAAGAATGCTCTAAATCGTGGCAAACAAACAGCTTTTCAAATGAACAGAACATTTTTTGGCTCTATGAAATGCAACAGTGGCTTGTTCATTCACAAGAAAAACAATCACTTCCAACCTAATTCAAAAATCGTATCGACATTTTTTGCTCGATATCAGTCTTTTCCATTGCCTGCAATAAACCGTATTTCAGTTTTATGCGAAAGAAGTGTATAAATCAGAATCGTCGCAGCACTCCCTCTCGCTCTTTTGT